AGCTAAAGACTACACAATTGTACGCCGGTCTATTAAAATTATTTCTCGCACAAGCAGTATTTCTTATTTGCACTTGCTTAACTTTATCGTCGATAAAAATTTTACCTCTTGCGATAACGTTTGTAACAATATTCTATCAGACACACTCATTCATCTATTACGCACAGAACCTAAACAATACATATCCACTTTTTGAATTTCCTACGCAATTGATATTCATTTTTAAACTTTTACTCCACATTCCTTTGAATTGACGGTGTTGTTTTTTCACTTTCTGTGACTGTATGCGACGATAAATGTTCCCGAAGTGCAAGAAGCTGAGAATCCATCCATTATGATGAATAAAGCGATTTTTGACTTGACTTGTGGAAAATACCCCATCATCACACAAACATCACAAGATTGGAGGAACGGCTGCTTTCAAAATTTCTAAACGTGCTGCTATGTGAGGATGTGTTTACACGGCGAGATTCCGTCTCAGTCGTGCACTTAATAAGGCGACCAGATCATGGCTTTTTTGTTTTCCAGCTGAAACGGTTAAATAGGGGACATAATTTTTCGGACGTTTAAGGCGGACGTACTGCTGAGTTATGACACCTGGTGAGGGATTGTCACGAAGACTGCACGTTCCTCATCACAGGACTTAGAGAAGTAAGAACAGAATCAGAGAAATTTTGATCCGGTTTTCCGAGGTAAATATTGTTTAAAAGCACAAATTCACAGTAATAAGCTTTAACAGAGAAGCCCTTGTAGTGACTAGCACAGATACACGTCCGTACAAGTGTTGAATAAACTGGTAATGTTTGGTTAGAAATTACCATCCTCACCTGTGACAACAGCGTGGATGGTTTGTCACTCGAGCATTACCTTGGTAACCAATGTTGTTTCGTAATCTGAATTAACACACAATTCTGTAAGTTCCGATGGTATTTTAATGATATTTTAAGCCGCACATATACAGATGCAGGAAAATTATCTAGGACATTTTGTTTGGGCTTCCCAGTTCAGATCAATCGTTTCTACATAGTGTCTTCTAATAATGTCACGACGATTCAATTGTGAAGATAAAAGCCTGGAAGTTTGGTGAATCATGTGCGCGTAACAATTTGTATTGTAACTTTGCTATTCAATCACACCCTAGTTTACGGAAAAAATAGGTCAATTCCCCAGGTTGTTTATTCCTAAGCCCACATAAAACTAATTACCTCATCAAGTTGGATTGACCATCCTCCGAACTTCATCTTCACACATCATCCTTCGTTCATCTAGTCAACGACACACTCAGAAGTAGTGGACTTGGGTTTCACTCTCAATAGTGCATATCCACCGTCCGGTCCGGGCCGTGAATTCCAGATCTATGGCATGAATGGCGTGTGTTTTACCACTGTGCCAATCAACTCATACCAGGGCTGAGCCGAATTAACAATTCATATTTTTTTAAGGTGTTATCTTCCATGCAGGTTACGGGCTACAATTTGATTCAGTCCTGGTATGAGCTGATTCGAACAGTGGTAACCCAAAAGTATTCCATGCGATGAACTCGGAGTTCGAATCACGGACGGGACGGTGGATATGTACTGCTGATGAGCTTTAGTGAGAGTGAGTGGTGCTTTTACTCACTCAATCACCAGGTAGCTGATCAGACCGTTTCTCATTTTGAATATACACGATATAGCTCAGCTCATATATGTCCATGAGGTCCCCGGTTCGATCCCCAGTTCAGTCGATGGATTTGCATTGCTGATGAGACCCAACCAGGTCTAAACAGCAGTACATAGAGTTTCCTAGCTTTTCAGTTCACGGTTCATCTGTTATATAGACGAAGAATTTCTCCTTTGAAAATAAAGTTACGTAATGAAAAAGTACGCGTTAAAGGTAGTATCCCCGGGGACTGGACTCACTTTATTCTCCGTGTGTATCAGCTGTACGATAACGCGAACATGACTCGCATAGTTCTTGACCGCAATCACACGCATAATATTCGCCGCATCCTGTTGATACGAATCCGTCGCAGTAGATGATGCCAAAATCAGACAGGCATCTGCCTCGACCATGCGTACACGTTGTAAATCCCCGTGATCCATCACTGTGCCCTGTGTGCGTGTGTGTGTGTGTATGCAGGGAGGGGTAAGGGAACAAGAGGACGAAAAATTGGTGGTCATTGCTTGTTCCAAATTTATGCAAGATTAATTCTCACTAAAAGCGGTTTATACCTACCGGTGTGGGGTGCAGTTTGCTTCCATCTGAGTCCTCCGAATCAGGTTCACTAAATGGCTCGGAGAGATAGTCAACGAGGCGGAACAGAGGTGTACGCTGATGGTTGTGATCTACCACTGATTGATCTCACTACACAATCTATCTACTAGCACAGATGACAAATGCTACTGTGCCGTAAAACGCTTCCATTGTTCCGTGAGAAAAACACATCGGATTGTTTGCAGGTGAGTTGCTTAGTGTTATCTACGCCTCTGGAAATACTGAAAAAAGACCACGTATAACAGTCGACAAAAAGCATTGGACAGTGATTTCATGTCTGTTACGACTCGTCAGCATTGCCTATTATTACTACTCCTGCGTTTCCGTTCGCACTCGAACTATGAACCAACGGGTTGGGAGTCGAAACCGTTATCCTCGAGCTACACGGTTCTCACGGTGAACACTTAGAAACACAAGGGTTGGGCAAGTTCCCACCACCATGTCACTTTGTTCGCAAAATAATTTGTTGATGTATCCCACTGGGTTGTTCATTCCAATATGAACTAGATACTACCAGATGATGAATGGATGATCACAGGCCAGGAAATGATTGCATTTTTTTCTCGAACATTCTGTTCACTCAAAATGTATGCATACGAGTAGTTGTAAACTGCCATGGAATTACAGATTCGTGTACACGATTGCTCGCCCCCCCCCCCACCCACGAAATTAACACCAAGCTACAGGAAACGACTGTGGCCCTGTAATTTATTAGTTTCGTTCGTTCTAACTGAGACATACTGTAAATTCCACGGTGAGCGGAAAATTAATGGCTTTGATATGTACTTGTGGGTGTAAACCACACGTGGGTGAACAATGGGTATGCCAAAAATGTCCCCATCGAACCGCGGGAATGTGTAGACATCACGGAACTATCATAACTGTTCAAGAGCGCTCCGATTTTTAACAGAATTCGTGTTGTTTGATGTTTATGGGAATTCGAAATTCTAGATCTGACTGTTCATCAAAACAGGGCAGATTGAAGAGAGTATGCATTCTGTGATATAATGAGAGAGTTGCTTTGGCTCCCATTGAATTGAGCCTGGCTAGATCAGCAAACCAGTTGACTGAAAGAGTATGCGTTTTGTCGCAGTGTTGTGTATAGTAACATGCATCCTTTTCGCTAACCTGGTTTAACAGAATAATAATAACCTTATAAAATAAACTCCTATAATGATTGGATGGTATTCCCATTTTTGAGTGAACGTTAATAGTACAATAATAAAGCAGAAAGTTGAAATCTCACATTAGAATCATACAATCTTTGTTTTCTTGTGTACTATGACCTACGGAACAACTTTGCCGTCCTAAATGTATTTTATCCCCGAATTTCATGCGGTTCTAGCCAAATAAAGATACTTGTGTTTCTCTAGCATTGGTCATTCCGTTTCAGAATCTCTATACACCTTTCCGATATATTGTCTGTCAGATTTTGAAACTTCGAATGGTCGATAGATGGACATTCTCGTTTCGGAGGGATCAGGGGTGGTGGATTCGTTTTCGTTTCCTTCATTCTCGTTACAGATCCCCCCCACCCTTCGAATCAGCGAGATCAAGTTAATCAACGCAATTGTTCGTCACTGGAGACATTTTTGCGCATATGCGAAGATGAAGAATGAGATCGCTTTAGCAGAATTGGAGTGCATTGAACACGGAAACTGAGTCAAATGATGCAATCCATCATAGTGTATGTGATGTTGCTATGTGTCCAAGACCACAAATGAGGATAGAAGTAAACAAATACGTCTCCATGGGAAATATCTGGATGACTGATAATATTGAGCTCCAATATTCTCGACAAACTTGAGAGAAAGATTACCCCACCAGGAACCCCTATACATAATTGTTGGCGTTGGATTCCAAAACCACACCGCTTTACGTTTGGTCAGCAACAGGCTGTACACTATTTCATGAAGTGAAAATCAACTCGGTGATCACTAACGGTCATAAACAAGAAGAGCTCATCAAAAAACTCAAGGTTCGAAAACGAAAGAAAAGTGTTGTTTTCATCCGTTTCTCTCTAGTCGGTAAGAAATAAGAATAAATGAATGAACAAATGGCTCTGCTTGCAAAAGCATTCACCATAAGAAAACGTGGACGGGACAGTACACGCAATATCAAGGCCTCGTCTCATTGTAACAGAAGAGAAATTTGATTCTCAGCTTAACCAGTAGAGTTAAGAAACTTTGTTCTTCGGACTCTGACGTGTTTGAACCGGGCAGAACACGAAACGTTTTTCTAGAGAATCGATATCCTGATTCATTCATTCATTCATAAAACCGTGACACCCTATCCCTTCAAGACATTATTTGACACAGCAAATAAGAAGCGTGTCTATCACTCCATTCCACTCAGGGAAGAAAGGATCGCGAAACGATTGAGTAGACCAGTTCAAATTTCTATTAAATGCACCTACTTCAGGTCCAAACTGGTTCTCTTTAGGCATACTGAACACAAATAACCCCCGGATACGACCTCATTTTGTGTTTATTTTGTTTTTAATTCACCTGTTCCCGTGGAGCAAGTTATGTGGATCGAACGGTGAGGCGTCATCAAGGGATTGACAAGGACCGGGGCGACAGCAATTACGAACCATTTGACTGAGTCTAATCATACAGTCATTGTGCTTGAGGCTTTCCGTCCTCTGTATACGGTCAACGGTAGGTTATCCAAAGAGGTCAAGTTCAGAATGTTGTCAACAGCCATCACCGTCCACAAGCCCCCCCCCCACTCCTTGTGGGCCCAGAAACAGTCTGTAAGAACTTTGGTCTTGCCATGGCCATCCACTAACAATCTGGTGACGTAACCGCCATTCAAAAAGATTAAATAGTTTGAACGTTTCAGTTAATTCAGACTAACGAAAGCTCAACTCTGGTAGAATAGAGTATTATATATTCCAGATTAACTTGGTTAGCAAAAACCGCACAGGAATAAGTGTTGCACACTGGATTTCGTGATTAGATCGCGGTAGGAGGAAAGGCGATCAGTGGCAGTCCTATTGCGGTATGACTATACCTAGAGTTTTATTCGGTCAGAGTAATTCACCGAAATACGCCTGATTAGCTTCACGAGTTACTGATGCCCAACACGTGACTGAATCCTATCCAGACTGATTCTATTCACTTTGCGCAAGACAAAATCTGCACTTACAGAATAAAAATGCCAAAAGGCTTGAACAGATTTGAAACATTTTGGTTGAGTTGAGACAGGTGAGTTGAAACAAAAGTTGCCTAACACTGCAGAATTCCACCCCCATTCATTGGATCATAGCTAGGAAGGGTACACTGGACAGCTGTTTCGTCTTGTTTGTGACTCATCAGCAGTGCGTACTTTTCGTATCCCTATCAGGACTCGAATCACGATTCTTTGGGCTGGGATTGCAAACCCTTAACCCTGAGCTGCAGGGTCGACGGTTATCACCTAGTGCGAATGTCTCAATCAATTTAGATGGTGAATGTTTAGATTAGCCCATTCGATTTTTCACAGGTACCAAGCATTGTTGATGATGTGGAGAACTAACGATCTCCCAAAGAGTCAAACCCACAACCAACATCATCAACGGTGCCGGATGCCTGTGAAAAACCGAATCAGTCATTTTATTTTGCAAGAGACACTGTACCCACGTGACATCTTGAATTGAGATCGAGACATTTTAACTCGATAACCGGATATACTAAGTTGAAGAAGATCTCGAAAGAGAGGTCTTGAGTGATGAAATTCTAATTTAAAATTTTAATTTAAAACATGGAGATCAAAATATGTTCAGTATACTTTGTTCATAACCCGAACGGCTAGCTCATTCTATGCTGTATTTTTCTGAAATCTGAAACAGTTTACGGGGAGACACCTTTCATTTTCGCCTATGAAAGAAAACATCACGTGGAGGGGTTAAAGGAGTCCGCTCGATCGATAACGCAACTTAATTTTGATTGGTTCAAAGCTGTGGAAAAAGGGAAAACACCCTTAAAGGGAATCGGAAAAAGGAATAATCGGTTAGGCACTGAGGATCAAAACGAACAAGACAGACAGTTAATCGGTTGAAACGAGTTCAGGACCGGAAAAGATAGAAGAGGAACAAGAAAACAGAAATGTTCAAATGTGGCACCAAGAGAGCACAGGGGAATCAGGCAACCTGAATGCGTTGCTGATCGGTGCATTGGGCGATGATACAGAGGGACTCAGTCGAAAATGATGCAACTACATCTTTTCTTATTAAACTTTAGCGAAAACCCGCAACGTTTTAGCCAGAACTTGTAGTCCTTTAGCCTCGACGCACAACGTTTTGTCATACTGCTGTAGGCGAAAATTCTAAGGTAAAAAATGTTGAAACATGCTAATTCCTGCAAATATTGGTGTTTCTAAGCTTGATTAAGAAATGAGCAGGTGTGGCGGTCGAATACTGCAACACATATTGATTGGAAAATATTTAAACCAATGTGCCGTTATCGTCAAACCATTTGGCACAACTCGCCATGCTTCAGTGTTTCCGCATAACATACGATAAGCATGTGAATAAAAATCAAAAATGTAACACAAACGGTATTTTGTTTTGTATTCAAAAGCTCTGACATGAACCAAAAGTGATACGATTCAAAAGTGAACGGTTTCGGTGCCAAATCTCCACTTAAAGTGAATTCTATTTTTGAGAGGTGAACACATTAACAGCCCGAGAATAATGAACACTGTTCACAAGAGACACCTCCTATAGTACTTCTTTTCCCATCAGGATTTAAACCCTATCCGTATTTCTTTAGTTTCAACCATTGTAATTTTGTCTAATGTGGCCTCGTTAATAATGTGGTGATAATAATAAAGGTAACGGTTTGAC